AGATAGAAGCTCTCTCTTTTACTTCCCACTGAACGTTTACATTTTGCTTGCGTTTGCTCTGATAAAAATAAGCCACGGAAGAAAGTGAACTGTGCGATTCATGAGTTTGTGCTACATATCCAGCTCGGGAGGATTGAATTGGAACTCGGCTCTGAAAAAACTCCAGTCAAAGATGCAAGTAGATTCCATTTTGTTGGGTGTGTAAGATACAATGCACAATACAAATTTACATTTGTATAGCGCCTTTCACGTCGGGAGGACGTCACAAGGTGCTGAATGTTCAACTTACACATTTGCAATGTGTGCAAGGAGTCAACTACAGGTGAACTGGGAAAGCAGGACTGAAAGTACTGCTCTTAAACGAGCCAGCACATACACAGTTCGGCCAATTGGCCTTCTTCTGTACAGTGTATATCTGTGACTCTATGCACTCATGATCTGAATTTTAGAGAGTATAAGAATTCAGTGTTACAAATCAGTCAAGGAGCTTGCAATGGGTGGAATTTCAGCTAAACAAGATGAAATGAAGAGACAAAGAATTTGTTTCAATTACAATACATAAAAAAGAAACTTGCACACAAAAAAACAATGAGATAATGGTCAATATTAGGTCCATCACACATCCTGTTGCTCAGTTGTTAGAGCACTCACCTCACAAGGGAAAGTTTCCATACTCCACACGCCTGATAATAATCCCTCAGGAAAAAAATAAAGTAATAATTTGGTCACTTCAATCCATAACTGTTTGGGGGACACTGCTGTGCGCAATTGGCTGCCGCGTTTCGCCCACAAAATATACAGTCAATTCACTTTACAATATAATCTGTGAAGCATTTTGAGACGTCCAGAAGATGTGAAAAGCGCTACATCAAATGCAAGGATTATAATTATTATACTCTCTCATGAATGCATCAAGTTTCCTCTTAAATACGGCGATACTTCCTGCTTCAACCACAGTTTCTGGAAGCTAGTTCCTCACTCTCTTCACCCTCTACATGCAGAACTCTGCATGAAGCAACAGGATATTGCAGCGATTGAGAGGATACAGAGGAGGGCAACCAAAATAATTGAGGGGATGGAGCGTTTGGGCTTTGAGGAGCAATTAGATAAACTGAGCATGTTCACACTGGAGAAGAGAAGATTGTGGTCTTTAAGATTCTGAAGGGAATAGATAACATAGACCATGATGAGCTGTTTTATCTTGTACTGAACAGTAGAACCAGAGGACACGGCCTGCGATTCAAGGAGGTAAATTCAGAACAAATCTGCGGAAACACTACTTCAGTGAGCGAACAGTACACTTATGGAACAGGCTCCCTAGGGAAACAGTGAAAGCAGAAAATGTCATTTGTTTCAAGAACAAATTAGATAAATTTCTGCTCAAAAATAATATCTTGGGATACAGTGTATAGTTTGGGACACAACATGTCAAGCGACTGCCAGGATGGTGGAAGGCAAACTAGATGCCCTTGGTCTTCTTTTGCCTCACAAAATCTTCTCTTCTTATGTAACTCCCTTCTAAACTCCAATGACAATCATTTATTTCCTTTAGTTTTGGACTCACCGACAAGTAGATGCAACCTATCAATGATCACCTCATTCCATCCTTTCATATCCTTAAACAACTCAATTTATTGGATATACATTATTTTTCACACCAGAACCAACTTTGCAATCAATTGATAAATCAGAATCAAAATTAATGTTTAAATATTAAGATATTGTTCAAATACTGATATTTACTATGAATACTAATAGGCAGAAATCGACATCTTGTTTAGAAAGGGTTGTGACATCAAAATACGAGGCGTAACCAAATGACTAATTGACACCAACTGTGTGAGGAAGATTAATTAGCACACATAGCTGAAAGCAAAATACCTACTGGTGATCATTTAGCTCTCCAATACTTCCGGACCAGAATGACCTCAAAGACAACGCTCACAAGGTCTGGCCTCCTCACCATTTCCCAAAACACATTTAATTCAAAAAAACAAGCGTGTGTCAGCCTGGCGCAGTTGTAGTGCTCTCGCCTCTGAGTCAGAAGGTTGTGGGTTCAAGCCCCACGTCAGGACTTGGAATCACATGGTCTAAGCTGATGCTCCAATGCCGTGCTGAACGTGTGTTACATTGTCGGAGGTGCCATCCTTTGGATAAGAAGTTAAACCGAGGTCCCATCTGCCTGTTCGGGTGGACTTTAAAGATCGCACGGCACTATCTGAAAAGAGAAGGGAGTTTCTCTCTTCTCGTGTCCTAGACAACAATCCCCCAGATAAAAATTGTCACTCACTCCAAGGATGTTTGTGGGACACTGATGTGCGCAATTGGCTGCTGCCTTTCGCCCACAAAACAGTCAATTTACTTTGCAGTATATTCTGTGGAGCGTTTAGGGACGTCTCAATGACGTGATAAGGCGTTATATCAAATCCAAGGATTATTATTAACAAACTTTGCTCATTATCGCTGCACTCCCATTCAGCTAAATGCAATGCCAACCCATCACCAGGCTTAAGAATATGCCATCCACACATGGAAATTTCCCTGTACCCGCAATGGAATGCGCACTTTTTCCCTGGTTTACCTAATTCCAGGGGGCATTAGGCACAGGTTGACGAGACCACAAGAGGCTTGGGGGAGTGTGTTGTGATAACTGATGAATTTCAACCATCTTAAAAAAACTGCAGAGCATGACACCAAATTTGGAATCAGTTGATAAATTTGTCCCGCTACAACCAGCACTGAAGCATATAATCTCACATCAATCAGTAATCATAACTCCATGAATGTATTTGAGAATACAAGAGGATGAAATCGGTACATCTGCATCAGGAGCAAGTGTTGCACAAGAAGGTGAGGTCCCACACAACAAATCCAAAAGCAATGATGTACGTTGCACAAGGAATTTCGAGTCTCCTTGGTTCTCTGACGAATGTCCAACCTTTCATGTGATGTGACTCGAGCCTCTACGCAAGAAAAAAAGTTTTTGTCTTCAAAACCGTTCAATTAATTACAACCCCCGTACCAAAATGGGTCACCCTACACAAGGAGATGAGTTTTCGAGGAAATTAATGTGGTGTGTGTGAGAAATATCAGTATCTTAACTCTCTCAAAGGCATTAACTCCATCCATTTCAGGCCATAGGTACCCAGTTGAATGACAATGTTAAAACATGGCCTTGGTGGATTGCAATTGATATAGGCTCGTAACAACAACCTTAGAGACAACCATTTAGGTCAATCTGAATATCTCTGCTCTAATTTTTCTTAACTTGGATCTTAAAACAGCAATACCTAAAAAGGTAAAATGCAAGAATCACATGTTTTGAGGGCTGGTTTTCTCATCATCAGCCGCAGATGCAGAAACCAGCAATGGAGACTAATGGATTTCTCTGGATGTACAGTACATATCCACCACAGATTAACACACAGACTGGAGAACACAACACTCACGAAGGGATTCTTTCCCTCTGTTTCCCCCAACACTCCAATCTGATCAAATTTTTAAAAATTTAGAAACCGGACTGAAAACACAGCCTTTCCTCTTGGAGGTGTGACACATTGCAACAAAACAGCCTCCAACAGGCAATGGAACCAATTTAAGAGAGACATTTAATAAGATTATTTGCACAAATGTGTGTGTGTGAGTATGTGGGGGTTGGTGTGGGGTTTTGGTGGGTGGTGTTAATAATGCCTTTGGATGGATTCTTTCCACCTCCCTCACCTCCCCACACACATTCCAACCATTTACTGCTAATTCAGTCTGAACACCCGTGGATGGATAGGAAGCAACATTGCACAAACACTGGTGGTCTGTTTACCCTTGTTTTCGCCCTGCAGAACTATAAACAGCAATAGAGAAGGGATTGGGGGGAACAGATGTACGCAGTCTTCTTTATTAAGCTGGTATGATATGCCTCCAAATAGCCTTGCAGTGAAATAACGCTTACAAAGTGCCAGTCAAGGGGGAATATAATGCACTCTATTTAATGCAACACAAAAATAACTTGCAACATGTTCAGATCTCCCCACTTTACTGGGAATTACACACACACACAAATAGAAGAGAAAGGAGCATTTTTTTCTCAGACTTACTTTGACGCTGTTGATTTATTCCAAAATACAGGATGTACAGTATTTGAGACGCATTTTAAACCGGGCTTCAAAGTATTAAGATGCGTGGGGGGAGCACACACACACACACACATACAAAACACAAATGGGGTAAAGTTTTCACACACGTTTTGCAACAATAATATTAATATCAAAGGGGGGGGGACAGATATTAAGGGGAAAACGCCCAGCAAAAAAATTAAAAAGCTCTCCCTGGTTTTATTACAGCATCAATAAGCGTTTAATCCTGTTATAGGGAAGGGAGGGAGAAACGGTTTTATCAAGGCTGAAGGTTGGGACAACCTACAGAGCACTTTGCAGGGAGATCAGGGCTTTAATAATGCAGAATAAACGCGTAAAACAGACACATACATACACACACACACACAGGCAAAGAACTGAGGTGCATTATCAATACAGGAGACAACGAGAGAGAGAGAAAATGCAACATCAAGAGAAGAGTGTGAGAGAGAAAATGCATTATCAATATAGGAGATAGAGAAAGAAAATGCATTTAAATACAGGAGAGAAACAGAGAGAGAGATAAAATATGTATCATTAGTATAAGAGAGAGAGGGGGAAAGCATTGTCTGTACAGGAGAGAGAGAGAGAAATGCATTATAAATACAGAAAGAAAGAGCAAAATGCATATCAGGACAGAAGGGAGAGAGAGAGGGAAATGCATTATCAATTCAAGAAAGATAGAAAGAGAAAGACAGAGAGAGGGAGGAATGCATTATAAATACGAGAGAAAGACGGAGAGAGAAGAATGCATTGTCAATACAGGAGAGATGGAGAGAGAGAGGGAGATCGTGTGTGGGAGAGAGAGAAAAGGGCATTATAAATACATGAGAGAGAGAGAGAGTGACATACACACATACAGAAACTTACCGCAATTCTGACACAGGATTTTCTCCACATCCTTTTTCAGGTTCTTCCCACTGGAGGAGTCGAGAGGGGCGAAGGAGGTCTTGAAGACCAAAGGCTGGTCGGTGAGGTTCATGAAAAAGATGTATTTCTGGTTTTTCTTCACTTGGACACACGGTGCCTCGGAGCCAAAATCCCCGATGGTGATGAGCTGATTCCTCTGGAGTCCAGCGCTGTTGACTGGCCACACATCCAACACCTTGACGCTAACGCTGTAGGGCTCACTGCCGTTGTGGTGATGGTGGTTGTGTTGACTATTGCTGTTCTTATCCGTAGGGCTGTTGTTGTTGGGGATGGACATAGACTGCACTTTGCCTTCGATGACCACTGCCGACCTGTGGGCTTGGTCCTGCCAGGACTGGGGGCTGGGAGACGGGTAGCAAGCCAGAGAGACCCCGGTGATGAGCAACATGGTGAGTTGGGCAGCATCAACGAGCCTTCTCATCATCATCCTCCTCATCCTTGTTGTTGCTGCTGCTGTTGGTGCTGGTGGTGTTGGGGAGCCTGTGGGTTGGGGTTTGGCTTGATGTTGGCCAGTTGGGAGACACAGTGGATGCACAGTAAATGGCTCTGCGCTGAGCGAGAGGAGACCTTGCGTAAGTGTCCATGGCATTTGCAGGTTTGCATTGGGAGGAGATGTGTGTGTGTGTGTGTGTGAGGGGGGGGGGGGGGGGGGGAGGGGGGGGGGAGGGGAGGGGGGGGTGAATTAATACAAAATACCTCCTCTCGGAAGCGGAAAAGGCGTTGCTCCTACTTGTCTATCTCTGGGCATTGTCACTGCAACCGCTTTTTGCTCAACACACACTCAGTCGCCCCAAAAATAATGCGCTTTTTTTTTCGCGAGTGGTACCAATTTCAGCAAAATGCGCTTCGTGGGCATTCGCTGCTCTCTCAGCCCCAGCGCCTCGCCCACCACAGCGCATTATTCTCATCAGCGCATTATCTATTCCCTCCCCCCCCACCCCCCACCCAAAGCTCCCCCACCCCCACCAACGATTCCATATTAGCCCAATTTCCTCCCCTTCCTCCCTCCAAGAAAAAAACCGACGCTGGTACCCAAAAATGCTGTCGCTATAGCAACTGCATCAACTCCCAACTGCTTACTTACTTTCTCTCGATTTTGCGACGTTCGTTGCAATTGAAATGCGCATCGCTCTCTTTCTTGGAGGGAGGGAGAGGTAAAAAATCAATGCAATTTTTTTTATTGCATACTTGTTTGTCCTGATTCTGGGGGTGTGGGGGGGGGTGGGTGTGGGTGAGTGGGTGGGGTGGGGGGTGAGTGGGTGGGGGGGGGGTGGGTGAGTTGGTTAGGGGGGTGGGTGAGTGGGTGTGGGTGAGTGGGTGGGGGGGGGGTGGGGGTGGATGAGTGGTGTGGGGGGGGGTGGAGGGACGTTTAGGAAGCTGTAGATTTGGTGTGGAGACACATCCAGATGTGTGTGTGTGTGTGAGAGAGAGGGGAGTGAGAGATGTAGTTGGCAGATAACGTGTTAACTGGTAGGTTTCTGTGGGTGATGGAGAGGTCCTTACAGCAAATCCTCTCTCAGCCCCAGAGCCCGCAATGTCCTCATACCTTTTCCATAGTTAAACGAATGCTGCTTTTTCTCTCTCTCTCTTCTCCAGCGGATTTTGCTGCCCTATTCGATTCGATTGAATCACATTCGCTTCTCAGCCCCCAATGCATTCAGATCACATCCACGCCTTGGCGACAGGCTGTCCTCTGGGTGTATTCATGTGTGTGTGTGTGTGAGGAGCTGATTTCTTCTCCACCTACTTCTGTCTGTATCGAATATATATCATATAAAAGATATGATTATTATTTTTCATTATTATTTCTGTCTGTACAGTATATAGTATTATAATAATATTCTAATAACGTTGGAGGGGGTGGTGGTGGTTGGGGGGTGGGGGGGGGGGGGGGGGTAACACCAGCAAATCATCCCTTTGTCTGAGTCAAAAAATAAAGGTGGAAAGATGTTTTCTTTCCACTTTAACCTTTCAGATTGTTTGATGCGATGCGTGTGTGTGTGTGTGTGTGTGTGCATTCACTAAATGCAGGGCTTTTTATTAATTACAGATAGCATTTATTTACTTACATGTGTGCTGTTTGAAGTGCCACACACACATGACAGAGAATGTGTGTGATAGGTTAAATAGTTGTGACAAATGCATAGGACCAGTTTTAGTTCAACTCACAGCGACTTCTAGTGGTTGCACAGGAGAGTCCAGAGACTATGTGCTTTGCAATTTCAGAGTACAATCCTAGAATCCTAAAAAAATCCATAGATCACCCCCCACCTCACTCCCCCCACCACCACCACCACCACCACCCACGCCTTTCGTCAAATGTTGTTGTTTGTGACAGAGGGAGATGGATGAATATTAGGGCATTGTGTGTTTTTGAGAGGAAACTGTTAAAATATCTCTGCTTTCCCATCCAAAGTGTCAGTGGTAAATCCTAATGGGCTCTCACAGCACAGTCGTAAAACTCAATGTGAGACTCCAATGTTTCATATTATCGATCAGCTGAAAAAAGCCTGGCCAAAATTTTCAAGAGTTTGGCCACATTCAGCTCTGCCTTGGCAAGCTCAAACAACAACAGCTCATATTTATACAGCGCCTTTCAAGTCGGGAGGACGTCCCAACACACTGGACAGTCAAGGATTTGCACCCAAGCAGGCCATTGAGATCAGGAGGGGTGAAGGACAGGGAAGGCAAGGGTAAGAGGGTTTCCAAAGGTGCGGTCGAAGAGGAAAGTTTTGAGACAGGCCTTGAAGGAGACAAGGGAGGGGGCGAAAGGACTGTAGGATGGAGTTCTAAAAGGTTGGGGGCAGAGAGGCTGAAGCCCTGACTGCCGATGGTGGGACGCGCAGGGCAGGGGACATGGAGCAGGCCGGAGCCCGCTGAGCAGAGGGAGCAGTCGGGTTGGTATGGAGACGGAATTAAGTTCCAATGAGACAGAAGTTCCAATCGCCTATCTTGGCTTGCCAACCAGATGGAGAAACTTGTGTTAAGGAGCGGAGGGGGGAAGAATGAAGTTCTGTGAAGGAAACTTACCAGCTGAAATTCTGCAGAATTTTGCTCAGGATCCCCAGCTGGATTTTTTGCAGAATATAATAATAATATTATTAATAATAATAATCCTTGCATTTGATATAGCACCTTATCATGTCATTGAGACGACTTGTGGGACACTGCTGTGCGCAATTGGCTGCGGCGTTTCACCCACAAAATATACAGTCAATTCATTATACTGTATATCCTGTGAAGCTTTGAGACATCTCGAATGCAAGGATTATTATTATTATTTATTACCCTTTTATCTACGCCAATGGAAAGATTCCACCCCACAGAAGATTGACAGGGCTGGCAAGTAACTCAGCCCAAAAGCAGCCACTAGGCTTGCAAAACAGAAACCTGGTGTGCATTATAAAGAATAACAAATGTCTGTCAGATACAAGGCATCAAGATAATGTAGACCATGATAAGCTTTTTCATGCTGTACTGAATAGTAGAACCAGAAGACACGGCCTGCGATTGAAGGGGGGTGAATTCCGAATAAATCTGCGGAAACACTACTTCAGTGAGTGAGTAGTAAGCGTATGGAACAGACTCCCTAGGGAGACAACGGAAGCAATAAGTATAATTTGTTTCAAGAACAAATCAGATAGATTTCTGTTTGGAAATAATATCTCAGCATACAATAAATAGTTTGGGACATGACATGTCAAGCGACTGCCAGGATGGTGGAAGGCAAACTGGATGAACCTTCATCTCTTTTGCCTAGCAAATTCTTATGTTCTTAAGGCATCAATTGAATTTCAGTGATCCCATATTTATTGTTCGTACCTGCAGAGTGGGAGGCCACAACTCATGAGAATGGGATGGCGAAGACAGATAAAGTCTCCAGACATAAATAATTTTTGTGGGAAATGTAAACTACCTTCATTCAGGCCTTGCCCAACATCATTCTTTCAACCACTTCGCCCCATAACTCAGGAACACTCTTCCTCTATTCCTCCTCCTTGCCTCCTCCTTCCCCATCCTCAGGTTGCACCTGAATACCTTCCTCTTCGACCGTGCCTACAGTCACCTCCCACTCCCTCCCGGCTTGGTGTCGTGCCACGCCACCGTTAAGGGCTCTGGGACACTACCCTGCGTGAGGGGCACTATATAAATGACAGTTGTCGCTGGTGCTAAATGTACCCTTTCTTGAGCTCAGCAACAAACCGAGTGAGAATAATAAAATTCTAAAACAGATATACTCATCAGAGAAACACCGCCATTAATCCAACAAGCTTCTCTTGTAACTGCCAGCATCAGGAATATATATACATGTGTGTCCCCAAGTTTGGTTTACAAAATGTGGTCACCTTAACCTAAGGTCCATTTGATCTCATCCTAACAGAATACCTGACCCACCGCCCTCCATCACAGCATCAGACTATGTTTTTTTACTTTACGTTAATGAATCCCATCGATCTTTCCTCAACAAATCTTCCTGGTTCCTCGTTGATTACCTCTGGTTAATCAAATACTTTCTGGTGTCTGCCCTGAGGTTGCCCTTCGTAACCCTGAAACCTGTGTCCCTTTGTTCTGCTCTCCTGGAAGCAAGTACATAGGAACATAGAAATTGCTAGACCGAAAAAGACCAAGGTCCACCTAGTCCGCCTTCTACCATCCTGGTAGTCGCAGGCTAGAATAATGGAGATGTTCCTAGCAATTAATTCTGTATGGATTAGTCTACAACAACAACAATTTGCACTTATACAGCGCCCTCCATGCAGGGTAGCGTCTCAGAGCGCTTAACAGTGGCGGAGCCTGACTCCAAGCTGGGAGGGGGAAAGGTGACCGTAAGCACAGTTGAAGAGGAAGGTTTTGAGGTGGGACTTGAAAAAGGGGAGAGAGGAGGTATGGCGGAGGGATTGAGGGAGAGTATTCCAGAGTTTCGGGGTGCAGTGGCTGAAAGTGAGACCTCCAATTGTGGGGTGGAGGGTGCGAGGGACGAGCAGGAGGTCGGTGCCAGTCAAACGGAGGTGCCAAGTGGTGGATTGGGGAGTGAGGAGGTCGGAGAGGTAGGGAGGTGCCAGAGAGTGAAGGGATTTGAACATGGATGTAAGGATCTTGAAGTCGATCCATTCAATGATGGGGAACCAGTGGAGCCTGGCCAGAACTGGTGAGATGTGGGTATGGAGTTTGGTCCGGGTAAGTATCTGGGTGGCAGAGTTCCGAATGAGCTGGATCTTTTGAATCGTGGAGCTGGGGAGACCAGCGAGGAGTGCGTTTGAACAATCCAGTCTACAACACAGCTTTGGAAACTTTAGATGCAAAGTTGCCTTGTTCTTCCAAGCATGCTACACTTGTCATGTCTCAAATTACTCATATACTCTATCCTAAAATACAATTTTTGCCGTGCAAAAATCACTCATAGTTTGAAAATGATTTACAAGGGTATTCTAGGGAGACGGTGGAAGCAGAAAGTGTCGATTCTTTTAAGAACAAATTAGATAGATTTCTATTATGCAATAATATCTCAGGATACAGTATTTACTTTGGGACACGACATGCCATGCAACTGCCAGGATGGTGGAAGGTGAACTGGATGGACCTTGGTCTTCTTTCACCTAGAAAATTCTTATGGGCCAGAATCAATC